CAGTAGCATGTTCAGAGGAGCAACTACGCGAGGAGGAGATCAACCTCTATGCTGACACCGTCGTAGCCAGCCTCCCTGCAACTGAGAAGAGACTCGAGGAGATACAGACTCACCAGGACAAAGATGACATTCTGCAGCAGCTCAAGCAGTTTTGTGTAAGTGGTTGGCCAGACAGGTTTTCAATTGAAAAGACTTTTCTGCCATACTTACCTTTCGCGGGGGAACTGACGGTTCAGAATGGTTTGTTGTTGTTAGGCTGTAGGCTTGTCATACCGAAAACACTCAGGGGTGACATACTAAACAAACTACACGAGGGCCACTTAGGAATAACAAAGTGCAGAGAACGTGCTAAACAATCCGTATGGTGGCCAGGTCTTAACAAGGATCTAACACAGCTCATTGAGAAATGTGACACGTGTGCCCGTGAGCGAGTTAACAACAAAGAGACTATGTTAGGTACTGACTTTCCTTCCAGACCATGGTGTACAGTAGGCATGGATCTCTTTCAGTTTGGTAAAAACCAGTATCTCGCTGTAGTAGATTACTTCTCAAGGTTTTTTGAGGTAGCCAAACTTTCATGTACAACTTCAGAAGCTGTTATTACCCACTGTAAGTCTATTTTTGCTAGACATGGTATCCCTGAGGTTGTACGCTCAGACAATGGTCCACAATTTGCGTCGGAAGCATTCGGAAAGTTTGCACAGATGTGGGGTTTTTCACATGTCACATCCAGTCCGCACTTTCCACAGAGTAATGGGGAGGTGGAGCGGGCTATACGGACAATCAAAAATCTACTAAAGAAATCTAGTGATCCCTACTTAGCTTTAATGGCTTACCGTGCCTCACCCTTAGCTAATGGTTATAGTCCAACTGAACTGCTCATGGGGTGTAAGATACGTACTACTGTTCCTGTCATTCCTTCTCAGCTCACTCCAAAAGGAGCTGATTTGGGAAAAGTGAAGAAGAAAGAACAGAGTTACAGACAAAAACAAAAACTGAACTTTGACAAAAGACACAGAGCTCACAACATGTCCAGCTTGCATCCTGGAGACCATGTGTGGGTAAAGGACATGCAACAGAGAGGAACTGTAGTGTCTACTACAGACACACCAAGATCCTACATCATTGAAACGTCGGGCGGCAATCTCCGGAGAAACAGGTACCATCTCTCACGCACACCTGTAGCTCCTGAGCCACACATCACCGTCCCGGATATGGCGGAAAGCAACCCTACAGAGACTGTGAATAGACCGGTCTCACCTGTTGTACTCCATGAATCTAACCAGCAAACACCCGAGTCTGAAAGTCACTATCCTTCTCGCATCAGGAAGACACCGGAGTACCTTAAAGATTATGCAACATAGTTGACGTTATTTCGGGGCAGAATAATCCCCATATTCAACTCTAGGGATTGGGCAGTCTACCCCATTCCCTCGTTCTTCTCACCATGTAGTTATAAATAAATACGTTCTTTAAGATACAAAAGAAAATGTTATTACCAATTTCATTATAAGTTGTTTTTCCTGGGTACACAATGTGAACGTATTGATGGCATATAATTTCAACCTCTCCAGCACATGTGATAACAAATCTAATGTTGCTACACTAAAATTTGTTCCTGTAAAGAAAGGGGGATGTAGTGATAGGCTGGGTAGGAACCTTTGTATGCTGGTGGTATGTTGCTGGGGGGAGGACAATGAATAAAACGTTCCGCTTTGACTTCAACCTGCTCTCGTCCGTCTCTGTTCTAAAGGGTTTCTATGTACCTATAAAACATTAGAACACTTTCTGCCTAAAACCGTCTGTGAGGCGCCATCTGCTGGCGACCTGTATTACTACATTTGAATTTTGAATCTGGCGCCAACACTGGCACAGAAGTTGGACCTGACGTCAGCAGCCCCCCGCCCAGAGCAATGTAAACGGTCCAGTCTTGTTCACGCCCCCTTTAGTCCTCCAGGCTACGCCCATTTAGAGGAAGATTTGAACAGGAAATGTGAGTGACGTAAGCTCCGAGGAGCGGGGGTGAGAACCACTTTAAAGGACAACTCACCCTTTTTTGCTGATAAACGGTATAAATGAGTGTCCAATAGTGTTGTCTACATATCCTGGTCATAATCTTGTCACTTTGGTGCAAATTAGTTGAAAGTTAAACTTTCTGCCTAAAACTGTCTGTGAGGCGCCATCTGCTGGCGACCTGTATTACTACATTTGAATTTTGAATCTGGCGCCAACACTGGCGCGGCAGCAAGACCTGACGTCTGAAGCAAGACCTGACGTCAGCAGCCCCCCGCCCAGAGCAATGTAAACGGTCCAGTCTCGTTCACGCCCCCTTTAGTCCTCCAGGCTACGCCCATTTAGAGGAAGATTTGAACAGGAAATGTGAGTAACGTAAGCTCCGAGGAGCGGGGGTGAGAACCTCTTTAAATAGGGCTGGAAAGCGGAAGTGCGAGATTTTGCGAGATTTCCACCCGCGGATACAAACAAACCACACGTGCCACTTGTATGTTGCTGAGATCGCCGACTTCTTCCTCCTTAAAGGACTTTCCTGTGTTATTTTGGACACATTTCGTCTCTGGGACAGAAAAACTGAGTGAGCGGTCGGAATTAGCTGTGAACTGACCATGTCCTGAAGTTTATATGACGGGGAGATGAGAAAGGTGCAGGGCCGTGTTCAAACTTATTGAACAATGAGCATGCTTCATGTAAACTTTGATGATAACAGCCGAATAGGGCTGGAAAGTCTCGTCCCAGAAGCACTTCCGGTTCATTGCTCGGATACAAACAAATCGTCAGCTGTTCGAAGAGGCTGTTTAAATGAATGGTGCAAAATGCTCTGCTTTGTTTTCGGCTGTTATCATCAAAGTTTACATGAAGCATGCTCATTTTTTAGGTTTCCCAAAGACCAACTGAAGCTGTGTAAAAAGCTATGCAGTTGTGATAAAACCTTTTGTCTGATTTTACAGATGGTTAACTTGAATATGTATTCAAGCTAACTTGTAGCTAATGCTAACCTGTAGTGCGCTGCCGAGCCTTTCATTGTGGCTTGTATTTTAAGATAAGATTAACTTTATTGTTGTCACACAGGAGACATGTATTTATTTATTTGAGAGATAAAGGAGGAACATATTAGCACATATTAAATAACATTTAACAAATGTTCAAATATAAACAGAAAACGGACAATCATAATATTAGTTAGTAGTAAATGAATAGGTAACCCAACTACATCATGTTATTTTTGACAGCACAGCAAAAAGAAAAAAGGCCCAATGTGAAGCTGCAGTGAGTGTGAAGTGGAGATGGAGCTAATGTACAGATAGAAAACTGATCATTCATAAACATTGGCTCATAACCAACGCAGCAAAGCTAGCTGTAAGGGACATCAATGTATTTGCATGGGAATAGTGTTTCTATATTGTCTTTCTGATGCATTATAGTGGATTAAAAAACAATAAGTTTGAACACGGCCCTGCACCTTTCTCATCTCCCCGTCATATAAACTTCAGGACATGGTCAGTTCACAGCTAATTCCGACCGCTCACTCAGTTTTTCTGTCCCAGAGACGAAATGTGTCCAAAATAACACAGGAAAGTCCTTTAAGGAGGAAGAAGTCGGCGATCTCAGCACGACCATACAAGTGGCACGTGTGGTTTGTTTGTATCGGCGGGTGGAAATCTCGCACTTCCGCTTTCCAGCCCTATAAAGAGTGGCAGAAGACTGGAAGGACTGAGAGATCCGTGTTTAGGTACAAACACTCTATATAAGTGATGGCTATTGGAATATATAAATATTTAAGATGTATATTAACACCCAAAAATCGCTTACTTCTGCTTTAAGGTCGTCTTGCAAAAGGTACAAAGATAAAAGAAAAAACAGTTAAAAGCTAAAACTACAGTTGAGGCATCTGAAACTAGATGTCTCTAACTCTGCAACCGTTTGATGTTTGGCCTTAAAAAGGCTCTATGTGATCCTGGTGTTTTGTTTAGGTAATGTGTGGTGAGAGACCCATGGCCTACACAGGTGGACAAACGCAAGACAAAATGGTACAATTAATCTGGCCTTGTGGAAGTCACAAGGACTCTGTTGTTTGAGTTAACTGGTGCCTGGGTTTGGCTTTTTCGTGATGATGTAAATTTCAATATATAATGTATCTGTGTTTCTCGTTCGGTCTGAATTAACTGCCATTTTGTGAATAAACTACCAGGTTTTTTTAGTGTGCAAGATCCCATTTGTCTGAGTCTGATTTTCAACAGGTAGTAATGTTTAGGTAAATCCAGATAGGACCCATGATTTCTGACCAATCCAATTTCCACATTTGGATCCTGTTTGCATTAGTTTTAAGCGACATCTTCTCGGGATAAGTAATACACTAAATATTCCAACAAACATGGAGTAAAAAATCAGTTCTATAATCACTTCGATGCAGTTTAGACCAAGTATATACACAATAGATGCCAAAAATAAATATGTAATTTACTATTCACTTTAATCCAGAGTTGGACAGAGCTAATGCTAATTGAGGGGAGATAACCAGGAAGACATGGTTTACAGTACCCAGAGGGGGGTGTCAACAGAACCGCCACACGATCCAAAAAGTGAAAGCTGTTCAAGTAAGAGTAAAACGATCTGGAAATTACAGAATAATGTTCTAGTCAGGTGCCTTTTTGCATTGAGTGTGTGACATCTGCAGAAAGGTGTGCTATTAAACCTAGTGCTAGTATTTGGTTTATGAAAGTCAAGGCACATTTATTTGTATATCACAGCTCATACTAAAGGTAAATCAAGGTAACTCAAAGCGCTATTTTAACCCAATAGAATTACATAATCAGGCATCTCTCTTTCCTAAAAACAAAAACAAGGGAAGGGCAAATACATTACACATTCTGGTCATTATCAAAACACAGGGGGGGAAAGTAATGAACAAAGAATGGACTTTTTAACCAATTACGTAAAGAATAAAGTCATTTTGAAATAGAAAAAGGATGAAGTTTCTGTCCTACTTTGAGCGTGTCTCCGTCGGCGTAGAGGACATAGAGAGTGACTTCGATGTTCTTCTGGACGCTCTTCCCTCCTCTCTCAAACTCCCCTCGCTCCAGGGTCAAGTACAGGTCGTTCCGTGTGTCACCTGCAACAGAACAAACAAACAATGACAAACACAATCAAGAACGAGTTGTTTAATTAGCGCCGACGCAAAGGCTCCGAGTCCCTTTTATTTGACTCTGGTCTAATGATAGCGCACGCACGATAACCACATTGTATTTGTATAATTAGTAGTTTAGCAAAAATAAGTGCAGGAAAAGTGTGAAGAAACCAAACAGTTATATTATTATCACCCTTCCTTTGCAGAAGCAGGAGGGGTTAACTCCTTCGAGACGACTTCTGTTGTGATTTAGGGCAATACAAAAATAAAATGAATTGAATAACATCATTTTTATTTTATAGTCTGGGTATTTCTGTAGAGAGCGACGATAAATGGTGTTGTTTTAAAGCAGGGGTCTTCGGCATCACTACATTTCAACATTTACAAACCTGTGAACGTAGGCATGCAATGTTTTTGAAGATAAAAACATTATAAATAAGGCTAAAATCAAACTGTATTTTTTGTCAATTCTATTCTATTTTTGTGTATATTGTTCAGTATTCTTATATGACTTTGAGTGAGGGTGTGTATTTTTCTTCGAGCATATTTTTCTAGCATGGAGTTCATAATCTGGGGGAGTCTGGGCGTCTCTGCTTATAGACTGCTGCCCCTGCAACCTGGCAACGGATGAAGCAGAAGAAAATGAATGGATCACATTTATATCAAGCACACACACACACGCACACACACACATACACAAACACACATACACAATCATCACACTCATTAATGTGTCTTTCCAAAAGGGGTGATCCGAGTCCAGCTGAGAGTGTGAACCTAACACTAATTTCAAAATCCCAGTCAAAATGAACACCCGTAGGCACATAAGATACATGTATGTGTGTAAGTTGGCATTGGACCCTCAACCTTTAGTCAGTGGTAAATCCTCTGAGCCACTTACAGCACACACTTTTAGGATGTGTGAAAAGAAAAGATGACAGGCTTCTCTTGTTCTCAGCTCAGATGGATATTGATGGAAAAGCTCTCTCCTTCACTGACTGACTAATCCAGCTCACATTTCATCCCGAGTTTCCAGGAGGTATGTACTTATCACCTTTAACACTGTCTCCTGTGACCGATCAATACAGGCAATATGGAGAATTAAACAGGTTATTTTCAATGCCGTTCAAATAATCAGCCACCCGTCTCAGCCTGTCTAAATCTAGTGTGTACTTTTGCGTCGCCAAAGCTGGTTTTAGTAGGAAATAAAACAAAATGTCTTCCATTAAATCTGGAGATTCCCACACAGCCAATTATTCAGTCCCTTCTGTGCTTTTTGTGGCCAGCTGGTAATGCTGACCTTCCTTTATGACCGTATTCCCTCTCTTACATTTGCAATTGTTTAACTGTTTGCTGACTTTGCGGCACTCGCTTGACCTGTGAAAAATATTTTATTATTCTGTTGTGTGGGAGGAAGGACAAAAAAAGTACTTAAAAAAACAAATTTGCAAATAGTCTTGTGATTCTTGGTATTTAAAAATCTAAATTTGTAACTGTTTTGATCTCATATCTATAAAAATTGTGTTTACCTTTTGATGTTTCTTTCCGGTATGAGCAACATTCCATGTGTCTTACTCTTTGTTAAACAGATTCAATTATAATGCACTATTTGTGTTAATTTTGTCCCTAAAAACATGATCTTGAGAATATGTGGCCGTTTGAAAAAGGGGACATTTTGAGTTCTTTGCGGAATCTGAAAGCTTCCACAAAAATAATAATATTGTATAGAAATGTGAAATTATTGAAGGATTGTTGGTCTTTTGAAAGTGTTGTAACCTGAAATCACAGAGCCATTCAAGGGGAGGGTACACAAAGCTGCTCAATTGCATCACAAACAACTAACAAATAAAGTTATCTGAGACACTGAGGAGGTAGTTCAGGAATATATTCATGTCCATCTCTTCCATTTGTGCCGCTGTACCCATCGCCATGCTGCGCCGGACAAACCTAACGGCTGCAAAACACGTGCATCACCATTGACTTTCAAACCAACGCATGGTTTGGTTTCAACGTCCCACATTCTCCCAAAAATGTCCTTCTTGATTTTAGTGAAATTCACCGGCACAACATTTTCACACAATTGTCCTGTCACATAATTGCCTTGGAGTTTCAAGTTTGAGTTTGAATAAGAGATTTCTTTGTATAATCAATGTTAATAATAAATAGAGCCTTTGTGAAGAATGGATACAACTTGCAATTTTTTAACTGTTTGTATTGTAGTGTATTGTATTGTAACTTGTACTAACCTGAAAAACATGCACATAATCATTCACGTTTCTATGTGGGGTCGGCACGAAGACATTTTCTCGCATCAGCCTACTTGTTTTAAGCTGTTATTTATTTCCTGTTATCTTGTAAATTCAAATATGAATTGCAATTTCTTAAATAAAGAAGAATAAATAATTGTTAGCTGCAGCTCTAATCATAATAATAAATAAGTTAAACCTAGATGAAGATCCCACAGCACATGCAGGTCCTAGTTGAACTCATGATGGCTCTTGTGTGATGCTCGCCCTGTCGCCTCGGCTCACTCTGAAAGTGGGTTACTACAGTCAGCAGCAGCCTCCAGCTCAAACACTGAAGACTGTAGCAGAGATCACATTCTGGACTGACATGAGAAAATGTTCCACAAAGAGAGAGTGGAGTTAAATAAAAAAAGGTTGGAATGGAGTGTGTGTGTGAAAGGTGGTGGTTGTAACATGCCATATGGTACAGTCGCCATGTGCCAATAATGAGAAGCCCTGAAGCAGCCATTTCTCAAGCCTCGCCAACACGATCACACGTTACAAAACAATAACATGCAGGTATTGTTCAAAAGGGCTGGACGGTTTTGACATCAAATCGAGTTGCAATTACAAAGCGTAATTAGATTTGTGTCTTTTATAAATGGGACTTTTAAAGTATATAAATGTCTTGATTTTTCCAAGATTTGTCAATGGAACAAGCTGAAAAAATCAAGTTATAAGAATGAAAACAACAGTAAAGTATTTAGATAGATAGATAGATAGATGGTTTGTCTCCATGGAAAACTGTATTGAGAATAGTTATTGACTTAAAGCTGGGGTACCTAACTTTTGAACCACAAAAAACCACAATCATTTCCATGTAACTAGTTCCTCGCTCTCAAAGCTGTTTGCTTCTATCACTGGTTTTCACATGCATGGATTTTGAGGCCTCTGTCAAAACTTTACATCAGGTATTTTAGACAGTAAAGTGGAAAAAGAGTGGACCACCCTCACTCAGACAATCAGCATCTCAAAGCGTCAAATGGTGACTCAGAGGGCTCTTTGGTCACACAATTGCACTTTTAAAAAACTCTCTCTGTTGGGAAGATTTTCATGGACTCATACTATTATAGTCTTTGCCATTTTCCAACTGCATCTTGTCTCTTTCAGCCCCATAGTGCAATATGCTCTGTGTGCATCCATTGAAACATGTTTACAAGGCTTTAGTTTATATTTATCGTAGCTGTGAGACAAATGTAGACCAACAATTACTCAGTGAATACCAGAGCTATCTACAGTAAGTGTGTCTTGCTAAAAGACGGTGGCTTGAGGCAGGAAAAACACACATATTGTTTGCCTGAAAACTAAAAATATTCTGAATCCTGAACAATTACACAGTGTTCCCACAGATTTCTCACTAAGGATTGTCACATGCAGCACCATCGCAACCAATCTCCAAGAGCCAGAAGCTGCTTTCCAGAACTGCAAAAAATATGGCTCCAAGTTACACAAAAATAGCTCATTCCACAGCCATAAAAAAATGCTTTTCTACATACAGCACCAAAATCTGAGAGCTAGTCATAACTGAACATTACATCATCATTGCAAATTATGTAACTATTATAAGATTTACAATATTACAGGAGGTCTACAACAAAAAAATAGTAATTCCAACCATAGAAAACCAATTTGAGTAGAAAAAAGTGTCTGTCCAAAACATTTTCAACTCTGAGTGCTACGGTCTAATTCTCATCTTGGACCGACAATCTGTCAGATATACAAGTTTTAAAAAAAGTACTTTAATGACAAAAAATTCTTGACGCAATCTATCCGTCCATTTTCTTCTGCATTATCTGTTGCCGGGTCACAGGAGCAGCCGTCTGAGCAGAGAGGCCCAGACTTCTGTATATACACACACTTCCCGACACAATACCATCTGTATAATAATTCTGGAGCCATAAAAACAAACTTAAATGTAGAGAAAACATCTCTTTTTTTACTAACTTGATCATTAATATGACTGTAATAAGTTAACCAATCAATCTCAACTAATCAAATAGTTGACAAGTAATAGTCGACAAATGTAGAAACCGAATAATTATTGATTACATTACAATTATTGGTTACATAATTTTAATTCTATTATTTGTGTTAACTCTTCTATTCTCAATAATCTCCAACATGTTCCTTTCCAGTTTGTCGCTGGGAGTTTTGAGATTCTCTTAATTTCCACTGGTTTTTTTTTAGTTTTTCGTTTATGAAGAAGGATGTACAGTAACTACTGAAATGATTGTGTTAAACCTGTTTTAATTGTTGGCCAATCTGCTGTTGGCAAATCAAGAATGTTGTGAGATCCTCCGAGAAGACTGTTGTTATCTGCTCAAAACTAAATATGGCAATTGTTCAGAAAATTGTTGCTCAAAATATCAACTTATTTATAATACAGACTCTATCCATGCAAAGTGACATATGCCATGGTTTTGTTTCTTATCATTTTGATTTGTATGATTTATTTGGGGTTTTTACAAGCTTTGAGCTAATTCTCAACATTATAACATTGTGTCTGACTTTGCATATATGTCTGTCATATTTTAGTTTCATACTGTAAGTCGAATTATAGAAGTAAATGAACTTTTGACATTTTAATTATCCGAGTTTCACCTGTAAATTCATCTGTTTATTGCATCAGTATATTCACTATACATTAATTGCTTTACATTAATTAGCTAAACAATAGTTTGTTATAGCCCTGATAATACTATAAATTCCCTTTTCTGTCTCCATGACGCCGGAGTGTTTTCTACCTTCTCTCCTTGACCTTTGCTTGCTTCTTGCTTTGCTTCCTCTCTACTATAAGAACGTGGGACCGCTCCCTGTTTTCCTTCCTGGAGCCATCTGGCCTCTGTTCTCGTCTTACCAACCACACGCTCCCATCAGCACCACCTGCCCTCAGACCCCACCCCCCGCTCCGCACAGCCTTATTGCCTTCTTACCTGGCAGGATGACATCTGGGAAGCCGAGTTTACGCGTTAGAGCCAGGGCCCGGTTGAAGACGGCCTGGTTCTCTCGCCGAATCTGCTCCAGCTCTCCCCTTAACAGCTGCAGGGAGATGATCAGGCCTGTGCAGAGGAGAGGGTATAGGGACAGGGCTCGTTCAATGCAAATATTCAATGCAAATAATGATATGATATAAGTTTATAAATGCTTGAAGTCAGTTGTTTTCATATCAAAGCTGGGGTACCTAACATTTTATACTTTACAGCCATAAAAAGTCTTGCTTTACTTGAAAGCATAAACAGGATACAAAAATAAAGGATTTAAAAATACAAATACAATAAATGAGTCACACATTGCTTGATATAACCCTAGATTCTTTTTCCCCCAAGCGGGAAAGGTTGGATTGTTCTTTCAACCCGTGTCTGCATTTCACCACAGGAAAGACAGGTAGATTTTTGTTTGAATAAAGTCAAAACAAACTTAAAAACTTCTTCTAAAGTCACAGGTCAGTGCTTCCTGGACCCAAAAAAACATTATAGTTAACAACGACATGTTTATCTTCCAGTCAGAGAAATGTAAAAAATTTCATTTTTTTTTTATAACTTTATAAAAAATGTATTGTCCCTTGTGTCTCTTGTTTCTTGTGTGTGGCTTTATAACTTTCTTCCCCTGATCCACATGTGAGCAACGGGCTATAAAACTGTCTAGTCTTATTGCTGTTGAAATGTTCACACAGAACAAGCCTCAAAAGAAAGACTATAGGTCGCAAGGCGGGTTAAATGCCGAGGCGTTTTGACACGTCAGCTGAGCGTATAAGAAAAGGGCCCCCAAGGGTTTTTGCACAGTGGGCATGTGGCTTAAAGCTGCTTGTTGTTAGACAGACACAATCAAATCTGGATGCATTTTGCCTAAATCAAGCGAAACATGTACTTATGTTGACATTTTTTGCAGTGTGATCGCACATAGAGAGGTGTGGGTGTATAAAGGAAAGTTATCATTAATTAAATATAGAGAGAATAGACACAAGAATGATGCACAGATAAGAAAGAAAGGGTTATTTAAGGGACATTAGTCAGATCGTGGGGGAGGAGACAGACAGGGGAGAGAGCAGAGGGAACGATGAACAAATGCTTGGAAGCAGGAAAAAGCCATGTTAATATATGTGTGAGAAAAAGTACACATGTGGGTAAATCACAGAGCGGCTACATACATCACACGCATGGATGCAAAGTATAGATATAGTGCAAAGACACGGCGGAATATAACAATGCATAATTACATGTTAGTTGTTGGTTCATTTTCTGTGTTGCAGTCTCTCAGGATAAAAATAGCACCCCATATCTGAGAGATCTTCTGAATATTTGATTTGGCAATTCAGTGTGAAAAATGAACAGCGGTAACTCCTATTTGATTTCAAAGCAAAATGGTTTGCTTCAGGATTATGACAGAATTATTTTTTTTTGTAGAGTAAAAATGTTTGGAATAAAATGTTGATTTTTGCCACTAGCAATTCTGCAGTAATTCAGATGTAGATATTTGCAATATTGTGTGGCACACTCTAAAAAAAAATGCATTGGCAAAACTTAATAAAATTGAGGCAGCATTTTGCATGCATCTTTTTAAGTTTTGCGAACAAGACTGTGTTTTAAGTATTCTTTGTAAGTCTTTTATCATTGGTCACTTGGATAATTGAGTTATAAAGACACTTTGTTAAGTATATTCAGCAAGTGTTTCAGCATCAGTTCAACTCAATTTTAACAATACTACCAACTTAAATAATTACATTGAAAATAAATCTTTTTGAGTATATTCAACAAGTGATTTTCAGTCAGGAATACGTAATCTTTATTCAAATACCATCTTTCAAAGATTAGATTCACAAAACGGTTCACAATTGTTAATTTTAGGCAGTAGTCTCTCACTCCACATATATATGAGAGAGGGCCAGCACAGTCACTGGTAAACATGTCCACCTTGAAGTATTTGTTCAAAATTGAAGGGTGACACAGGGAGTATAGGACTGCTTTGGCTTGGCCCTCTCGATCATGGTTGATAAAAATAAATACAATTACTTATTTGGTCAAATTAGTTTATTCAGAATGTTGCTCAAGTATTTTGCTTTAGGACTTGCTTCATATTCAGTTTTAAAATTAATGCTCAAATGTAGAATTTTTAAGAAGTTTATATTTTTTGTGCAATGCATTCTGGGTAGCGTCACTGCTTCGCCACATTTTGTTTTCAATCAACACAATATATTTATTTTGAATCAACTCAATATATTTATTTTGAATCAACTCAATATATTTGTTTTTTCATTAATGGGCCACCAGGCTTACAAGAGGATTTTCATGTTGAGCAAACTCAATACTTCTCCGTTGTCCAGTTATGCCAGAATATCAAGTTCAAATTTGTTACAAAAATGAGTTAGGATTCTTGTATTAACTTTTAATTGAGACAGGCATGTTTAAAATGAGTTGCGACCACACTAATTTAAGTAAAACTGGCAAAAATCAATTATTGAGTTTAGTTTAGTATGTATTTTGAGTTCAAAATACTAACCACCTGAATCATTTCTTTGAGTGCAGAGACGGACAGTGTTTCTTATTCACTGTGTTTTTGGACTGAAATGCTGTGTGTTGTGATTCAGGACAACCATGGGAAAAGGAGGCGTGTTGTTTGAATCCATCTTGGCTTTTCACCACAGGAAAAACAGAAAGAAACACACTTATGAGTTTCAGTATCAGTTTTCTAAAGTCACAGCACAGTTCACCCAGAACCAGAACTAAAGCTTATCCTTCACATGGAGCCATATAAATATTTTCAAACATAGTTTTTGACGTGAATAACTTCATAAAGGAAAGAGCGCATGTAAAAGCCCAAACTTTGATGACAAGAGCTTCACTCATGTTACACAATCATTGTGCAAAGTATTGTCCCTCTGCTTCTTCACCTGACCCACATGTGAGCAACAGGCTTGGTTTTCTTGGTGTCAAATATACATATATATACTCTATTTATTTTTTTGTTCTGCAAAAATACTAGGTCAAAAGGCAGGTTGAAAAGTGAGTCATTCTGACACTCAAAACAATATATTATTTTGAAGTACATTGGCTACTTTCTACGTTATTATTTCACATGAACTGACAAAGTTATGAAAAGCTATGAATTAATGAATTGGTTATGGAAAAAAGTATGCATTTCTTTAACTGTAATTCATTATCTTCTATTGACACATTTAGTGAAGTAATTTGAGGAACTGCTCTTCTGATTGTGATTTACAATAATACATTGATTTGATTTGATAATCATTGGCTCACAGCTTCTTGTGTTTGTTATTATTGCATTGCCTGTGATTGAACAGTGATTCTCTGATCTGTTGTTGCACACCGACATCTTCGTAAAGTCCTTCGAGACGACTGCTGTTGTGATTTAAGGCTACACAAAAATACATTGAATTGAATAACATGCAGAAGTAAATGAGATTCACCATAGTTTGTGCTGGGAGCAGAGTACTTGGTGTTGGACTTCCGGATGATGTTTTCGTGAACTTGGTACCACTCGTTTTCATTGTTGCATCTGCAGCAAAAAACAACAGGCCCATTAGTGATTCCAGATGGAGGGTTACGGACGGCGCGCAGCACAACCGCACAAAAGCGCCTGTCCCAGCGCGCAGCCCCTTCTGGAGGAAAGGTAGCAGCAGGGGAGAGCGTTATCAAGCAGCACATTAGACCAAATGAACAGCACACTAAGCAGAGATGACAGCCAGTGCTCTACCAGCCTTTTTCATTACTCTGAGCCCTGTAGGCCCCTGGGAAAGGCATGGGGAAATGCACAGACTGGATCCTCATACAAGCCGACAGTTGGGAGGCAGCGCGGCTCTGAATCACTGCCTATACTTTTTAAAGGGGAAAGCTCTTCAACTCAGCAGCCAATAAAACCAACAGCTCTCGCCTCGTGTATGTATGAATGCAGTAAATAATGGAAAAGAGACATAACTGTGTAATTACAAGAAGATGATTTGACTTTACAAGTACAGTTATCTGCTAACGGGACAAGACATTTCACAGCTTTTACCCATGTTATAGTGCCCACTGCACTACTGTCTACTGTCAAAGTATTTTTGGTCCGAGGCTGAACTCAAAAATATATTGCTGATTTTAACTTTTTGATCTTTACAATAATTCCCAAGGTCTGCGTGTGTGCTCATGCTTCTATATTTTTCTTCTAAGTTATGAAGGTATTGATAGTTTTATTCAAGATGAGTTTGGATTCGGATGAAAATGAGTTATTTTATGTTTGGATTGAACATATTTCTGATGACGTTGCATATATTGAGCTGTATATTGAAATCTAGGTATAAAAATCAGCAAGAGCGTGTTATGTCTTATTTACAAATATTCTAATAAGATTCTGAAAGCCTGTTAAACTTGGATTGGATGAACAACAACTTATTGCACTTTAAAATAAGATTATAAAGAAATTAGGATCTATTCTCCTAAAATCCAGAAAGGCTGCATTTCAAACTTCATTTAATTTGTACTTTGTGCATATATTCATGACTGTGATTAAATTGAATAAACAAAACTTTTAAAATATTGGCTGCTTTTACAAAGAAAAACTTTCCAAACAAAATTTGTGAAAAAGTCTTGCCACTAAACTTTATACTGCATACTGTAATGTTATGACCAAACTACTTCCAAAATCTAAAAGATTAGAAAAGAAAACCAAAAGATCCTGTGTAATACACAGCATAAAGATATGAAGTATGTTGCAGCGGCGCTGACTGACAGGAGAAAGTGCTGATCTCATGTTTTTGCCGATGTCCTTCGTATCTATGACATACTCTCCTTCAGCCTCAGCTCTGCTGCTACTGCTGCACAACCTATCTCTAACCTATCTCTGTTTCCTGAAGAAGTTGCCAGATTCACAACATGCCAAGAGTCCCATGGACCATCAGAGAGGAAGGCATCGATTTTACAGAGGACATTTCACTGTCAAACTTGTCATCCTGCAGCAGGAATTAGCACTGAGGCTGTACAGTAGGTGTTAAAACTTTTTTTATTTATTCAAACTAAACAGGATTTTTAGACCAGTTGACACATTAAAACATGTGAAATTCAAAAGATATTAAAAATGCAAACAGAAAGTAAGACCAGTCTTTTGGACCATGTACAGCAGTTCTAAAGAGAGGAGGCGCCCTGACCCTAGGGCTGCGACTTTGGCCTAAGAAAGCTTTGTTTGTGGAAGTTTGAAAGCACGGAGAAATTGTGCCCTGGTCCTCTAATCACCTCAGTGAACTCACTTGCATTGAAACAGTTCAGTGACGTTGTGAAAGACAGATGCCTTTGCTTCGGAAGTGAACTAAGTCCAGTTAAACCAATGAGTGTGAATGAAGAGACAAAAAGAGTCCATTCTACTCATGTTCTGCTCGCTCCTATATCTCATTCCACTGGCTCCATGGGTATATCTAATGTCTTGCTTAAGAACACAACAGCAGCTCAGCACTTTAGAGCCGCCCTCCACTGTGGCACCTGGTGTTGCCAGAAGTCTACCATCACTGTTCTAACAAGGCTCTGCCCTGCTTACCTTGTGAGTCGTAGTCGTAGTTGTAGTTGTAGTCATAGTACTCAGAGTAGTCGTAAAAGTCGTAGTAGTAGTAGTAGTAGTAGTAGTACTAGTCGTAGTAGTAGTAAAAGTTGTAATAGTTGTTGTAGTAGTAGTAATCGTAGTAGTCGTAGAAGTCGTAGAAGTGGTAGTAGTCGTAGTAGTCGTTGTAGTAGTACTAGTCGTAGTAGTCGTAGTAGTAGTAGTCGTAGTAGTAGTAGTCGTAGTAGTAGTAGTACTAGTCGTAGTAGTAGTAAAAGTCGTAGTAGTTGTTGTAGTAGTAGTAGTAGTAGTCGTAAAAGTCGTAGTAGTAGTAGTCATTGTAGTAGAAGTACTAGTCGTAGTAGTAGTAAAAGTCGCAGTAGTTGTTGTAGTAGTAATCGTAGTAGTCGTAGAAGTCGTAGAAGTCGTAGAAGTCGTAGAAGTCGTAGTAGTCGTAGTAGTCGTAGTAGTCGTTGTAGTAGTAGTAGTCGTAGTAGTCATTGTAGTAATAGTAGTCGTAGTAGTCGTACAAGTTGTAGTAGAAGTAGTCGAATCAGTCGTTGTAGTAGTAGTAGTCGTAGTAGTCGTTGTAGTAGTCGTAGAAGCCATTGTAGTAGTAGTAGTCGTAGTAGTCGTACAAGTTGTAGTAGTCGTTGTAGTAGTAGTAGTCGTAGAAGTCGTTGTAGTAGTAGTAGTCGTAGAAGTCATTGTAGTAGTAGTAGTCGTAGTAGTCGTACAAGTTGTAGTAGTCGTTGTGGTAGTAGTAGTCGTCGTACAAGTCGTAGTAGTCGTTGTAGTAGTCGTAGTAGTCGTACAAGTCGTAGTAGTCGTTGTAGTAGTAGTAGTACTCATAGAAGTCACAGTAGTAGTAGTAGTTGTATAAGTCATAGTAGTTTTTTTTTTTTTTAAAGAGAAGCAAAGAGAAGTGTAACTCACGTGTAAACCTTGAGGACAAAGTCTTTCTCCTCTTTGAGGTCGGTGATGGTGTGGAACACGTCGCTCATGGCCAGAACAGCGCAGCCATACGGCCGTCTGTACTGTACGTGCGGAGGCCCTTTTTTTGAGTCGTTCAGCAGCATCCGGCCTGCAGGAGCGCAACATGATTCCAGGAACAAAACGTGAGGTAATTTTAAAAAAAGCTTTGAAACGTACCCGTTCTGATGACGTGGGCAACAATGTACAGCTCTCTCTTTAAGTCTTTACTGCTTAGGTCCTGGAAATGAAAATTAAACACATATTAATATTGTGTCCAACCAGCTTTGTGTCCATACATTTTTATTGAGTGTTCACAGATATATTTTGAGTGCATTATTATGTGATTACTGGATGCATTTTTAAACATGGGGAGGATTATGAAGCCAAATCAGTATTCCACAAGCACCAATAGGACAATAGAATGGGAAAGACTTTTATATATGTAAAGTGGCGATTGTAACTTCATATTTATAAAACCTGCTGTTACAATCCCATCCAATCCACTTTATTTATGTTAATATGTTTTCAAAGTGCTGCACAGAAGTAAAAGTAACACATTTAAATATACATCTTGTCAGCTTTATATGTATGAAAAAAAAAAACAGACCAATGTTGAAAGTATTTCTTAAAACAGCACAGACAGCGTATTACCGTGAAGAGAGCGCACAGTCGGTCCACTTTCTCTGGGTTCTTTGGTCCTCCGTTTTTGTTGAGCTTCACCATAAACTTCTCACTGCAACCGAAGCATAAATCAGAATTAAAACTATGTACTCAAAAAACTCTATTCATGTCATGTTTTAGAAACTTAAATAATATGTCCAGTAGAAAATATGTGATGAAACAATTATCAAGAGTAAATAACGCTTTAAAAAAGAATTGTGAAAAAAGTGCATGATGTCATAGTGGTACAATTACATTATACTACAAACAGAGGGGGCGGAGTTACATGCTTGTGCAAGAAGTTTCTGATATTAGCCTGGATTGACATGGATGGATCTAATAATGATGCTGTGAATTGGGTGCAGCTCTGATCCGCGACCAAGAAATGGATTAAGGGGATGAAAATAGATGGATGGATGGATCTAAAAACATCTGTACTGTTGTTGAATTCAGCTTCCTGGGAGTTTTCTCATACAAAGACCAATAAACTTAGAAGCCTTATGATTGGCATTTCTATGAAGTTTTTTGTAAATAAAGATAATTGAATTTGATTGGCTGAAGGTCTTAATAAAAAATCTCTATTGACAATGAAATATACAATAACAAGGAGTCTCTGGTGTCAAAGATTCTTGCTTTAGATCAGGCAAAAGCAATGTCGTCAAGGCAAGGCAAGTTTATGTATATAGCACTGATCATTCACAAGGCAACTCAAGCTGCATATCAAAACAAGAAGGGCACATATGAACAGCGGTCTGGGGGTACAGGAAGTAGAGCATACCTGATCTGTTTGGCATCTCGTGTGTCGTACAGAGAGAAGAAGACGTCTGCGTCTTCACTGATGCTGTTGTAGGTGAAGCTCTTCAGGTTGATGAAGAGATGATGAGACACCGGCACGCGGCAACTGTCACCGTGTCTCTGCTTTGTGCTGTCACCCTTAAGAAAGTAGATTATATTAATTCACAAACATCAAAAGGAGAAATGGGAGTAGTAGTATAGACCAGTGGTTCTCAACTGGTGGGTTGAGCGATCATTTTGAGAGGGACATGAGTCTTTCCAGGGCAACATTTTGAAGCTACGTAACCACTACTGCTAAGGGGGACCAGAAGTGCCAAAATAATAAATAATTTTAGAAATAAAAATGTTCACAATGTCAAACATTTCCATCATTATGGAAAAGATTGATAAATGCAGACGGAAAATAACATTGAGGCTTAATTTGGTATTATTTCATTTTTCATTTTTGTTATTTCAGATTTGTAGCCTTGAAAAACATTTTTCATTGTGGACGATTATTTATTTCTTCATTCACTTTTTTTTGGCAGTTTGATTGTCCATACACAACACTACTAGAAAGTAGTAGTAATGCAAGGTATTACTTTAATGTGTTTTTCATGATCTAATAAAAGCCAATGAAAATATATTTTAGACAAGATTTCTAGACACAGGTTTGTATCCCTACAGTGGAGGCTATTGTATTTCTGCATTTTTTTATTTCACTATTTGCACCGGTTTTATTTTATTCTACAATGTGAGGCACATTGTGACCCTGATCTGTGAAAAGCACTGTATGAATAAAGTCACTTACTAAAGTTTTCTTACTTGTGAAAGCAGAATTCCTTTATTTTCAGAAATATCAACAAACCAGTTATAAAACACCCTAAAATGTCTGTCTTTCCATGTAGAAAAAAAACAATATTTCATTTTGAGCTTGATTTGCATTTCTGTATAATCTGAATACAAACTAAGTATGATACACTCAATATTCATGAAGCTTTTAGCTGTACATAAAATTAAAGCTGAGGTACCCAACAAAACCACCACTTTGGCCTTTATCACATCTTTAGATCAGCTTTTTGAGACAGAAAAGTGAAAAAAGGTAGACTACTCTGATCGGCCAATCTGCTGGTCTGATTTGTTCACAAACTTTTACTTTTCCAAGACAATCCATAAACTGTATATTAGGAGTGGACCCATCATGTTTGCTGAATGCAGAAGAACTCAATTTGAATACAGGCAAGCTGGAGCATTTTCCTTGTTGCTAAAAGGGTTGCAAAGGCAAGCTGGCAAGGCATCTTATTGATCAAGCCGTGATCGTGGCTCGTGTCTGGATTTACAGAGATAATATCAAAATAAAAACCCCAGAATCATAGAGAGCGCAAAACAACAGTTATAAGCCAAAAAATGGTGAGAGTGACCAGCGGCCAAACGGTTACCAAGCTAGAGGATTTTACTTTTCAGTTTAAAACTATAAGTTGATAGGATCCACAGGGGGTTGGGGTAAAACTTTGTCTATGGGCACTTCCCTATTGTGTTTCATTGAGCTAGGCTTTCTTGGTGAACGTTCATTGCATTCCATTTAAAAATACATAATGTTTATTTCTAATTTGTACAATTAGTGTCAATAAAAACAACTAAACTGGCTGTACTGTTCTCTATCCATAACATTATTTTGAAGTTTTATTATAGTTCTCTGCAAAGAACACAACATCATGAAACAATATCAGCCCGACCTTTCTTAGAGAGGGAAGAGAAACTCAACAATGGTGAAAAACAAGTCGCTCAAAGGACAGTTACCTGGTTTGTGCTCGGCTGGCCACAGTGTCGGCTGGAGACGTGCTAAAAAAAGAAACATATATTGACATTAGAAACGCAGCCGTGATGTTGTATCCACACACTCGACCATCTGCGCAGTGATGGGGATTCTAGTTTAGATGTCTAGCGCTGTTTCCAATCTGGGATTTAGGTCCAGTTTGTCCTCCTCTGTTTAAGGAGTCTCCCTCTGCGGAGCGAAAGCCTTCAGATAAACATCTCCGAGTGGTGTTGTCTTTTCTGCTGCATTTCTACCTCTCACGTCAGGACTGCTCTCTGGCGGCCTGGCCACAGGGAAACTCAGACATTTATTACATCCATTTATCTATTTAATTCATCTTGAAATGTGAAACCAATATATGATGTAGACCCCATACAGAGTGACATAGGCCAAGGCTTTGTTTGTTATAATTTTGATGATTGTTATGATTATTACAGTAATTCTTTGAACACCGAGGCCAATATAGTGATGCTAAACTCAGCAGTTGCATCAGATAAGCCACGGAAATGTACTCATGCATTCTGCTCTTAACGTGTATTTCTTTTATTGTGCCAATTTTTCCTCTTGAATTACTTTTATTGTGTCTTTTTATGATGTGCACGAAAGATGAGTTTCTATCTCTGTTGATAAGCTTTTTACAAGCAATGAGCCAATTACATTAAAACAAAAAAAAGCCTAGAAAGAGCTCACTACAGAGCAAAGTTTCTCCTGTAAAAAGCTGTAACTATAATTACACATATTTTTGGGGCATAAATGTAGATGCACAGGTTACTTTAAAGAATAACTTTTAATTGGAGCCTGAAAATTGACTGTGTTGTGTTTACATTTCTTGGAGAATTGACAAGTCCGCCGAGACTGTGCTGTTGTGAATTAGGCCTGTACAAAAATATATCGATTTGAGTGGAAGTGAACGCCGAAATATGCAAAAAAATAAGGAGCGCAATCATGTTACTCGCTGCTATGAATAGGAATCCATAGATTTTTTTACGAACCTACGTCACATATGCTTAGCACTGCAGGGAAGTTCTAGGAAAAGCCTTGAATGAGCCACTGTGTAAAATTGAATACTTTCTACGCACGTCTCCTGCCTACATCACGCCAACGTTACATTACGCTCGTTGCTTGGGGTAAATGAGGCGTGAGATTACCCCCTTTCTTTATGTGTATAAAGTAGGGCTGTCAGTCTTCAACCAGCTAATTGTTCTGATTAAAATGTCAGGGAATTCTATGGGAAAACAGCAATAATGAGAGAGCATGGAAGCAACTTATCAAAAAAAAACGCTGCTGTGGTCCACCATTTGAATCTCCACCAGAGACAATCCCACTGTTTTTACATTGTTTGGCAAATGTCTTTTACTAAATCTATATTATGTCAATTATTTGTCAGCCTAGCATAGTAATTTTTGCTCAAAAGACGGAAGCATCTCTGCATCGCAACTTAATACAAGAGTCTATGATGTGACCAGTGACCTAAAATTATACAAGAGTGGATTCAGATGAGTCCTGAGTTTTGGATCAATATAGAAACTTCAAAGTACTAATAATATAGTAATGTGCCTCGTAGATAATGATATATAGCAAAAAGTATAGGGTTATGTCCTGTAATAATCCAGAGTACATGTTGCTATCTGCTCCAGCCTTTCTAATACACATGGAGGAAAACGTGACTGAGTAGGAGTGGAGAGGACAAAGCCGCTCGAGCCCACACACTCTGAGGCCTAAAAAGACTTCTCTTCTACAACATTCTGGATCCTCGCCAAAGTCTATGACACCAGCTCGTGTCAACAGCAGCTCATCCACGGACACTTCTCGGCTTTGTGCTGATGTCAGTAACTCCAGATGCATTTCATTTTTAAATCATGCATATTTTTGATCACCTGTGCAGAAGTCCTAGTTTCCAAAAGAGACCAACTCAATGATATATTTTCTGTATATGAGGCTATTGTGCATTGCCCCTGATCACAGACCGCTATTATCAGGAACTTATGGAACAAGTCAACACAAACATGTCCCCCGGCCCCTTTTGTCTGAAGGCTCCTATGTCAAACTTGTCAATACTTAGAATATGATGTAATGAGTTTCTTAGTTTTCGCAAGTGAAATGACGATGACTGTTTTTTCTGCTTCTACCTCTAGATGGAGGTGTTTAACTACTCAGAGACTTTATTTTTTGATTACGCTTCATTAAGTTTATCCATGTATTTTCTACAAATAGATAATTGTATGTTCTAAACCTGAAATGCTTAAGTCAATAACTAAACAAAAAAAGGAACACAAATGAAGAATGTAATGTGTTCTTGAAAGAAAAAGTTATATGCTTTGTTTTTGAAATGACAAAAATGACACATTATCATTAAATGTTGTAGATTGTGAAATTATTCTCAAACATATCTTAGAAGTAGAAAAAATATGGTGACACAAGGTTGAAAAAATGCTCTTAGCTTGTAACTCCTCGTGCTTACCCCCAAGTTGAATTTGCTTTGTATTTTCTCCCAAATTTGAATATTACCAGCTGCAAACACAGCCACATTGTAATTGTAAAGAATCCGTTTTTCCTTTGAGAAAATATCAAAACTAATTTCAGGGGTAATACTTTTATTTACAAAGGCATAAAACTGTTCTGAGCATGACGTCATAGTGGCACAATGACATTATTCTATTACAGGACTGAGACTGGTGCTTTTAGACAGAAGGGGCGGAGTTACATTTTTGTGCCAGAACTTCCTGATACAAGCCTGGATGGATCTAAAACAACTGTTCGTGATGAGGGAACAATGTAAAGCTCAAAAACGTCCATCATACGTTTAATGCCATATAACTACATTCTTTAACGTATTCAAAGTATAATACTGTTGCTTGATTGTATATTTATGTATTTATATTTGCATGTGTATGAATATCCTATAAGCGCAGTAGGCAACATACAGCTGTAGAAAAGCATCATGTAAAAATTGCAAATACTTGTGAATGTATAATTTCTGCTTGAATTAATGAATGCACTTCCACATCGGATTTTCACACAAAACCAATAAAAACATGGTAATGGAATAAATGCAGGCTGATGGAGAACGTTTTGATGAGCACATGGGCGAGCACAGAATCTTCTCCATGTTACATTATATTTCATAACATCTGCGCTGTAATTGCATCTTTCTAAAATTAGCCATAGCACAGGCTTGGTCTCCTCTCCCCAGTGTATTCGCTTCACATCACTACAGACAAAATACATTTGACTGGTTATTTATTCATGAAGATATGTCCTTATGTCAGTGTGGGTTTTAAATAGATAAAACGGCAGCATATAATTTGAAAAGTAATCCGGTAAATTTTAGTTAAAGCTTTACCTGCATCTGTCATTTTGATTTTTGTGTCCCCAATGCTAGCCAAGACAATGAGAACTTTTTGGTTGGTAAAAGCGTTTTGTGGAAATAGCAGCAAGATGGAAGTAAAAGATGTGATGGTGTATTTCATAAGGAAAAGGCAAATTGATAATCGTAACATGTACAGAATCCTTGCACATTCAAAAGCATTATGAGTAGTTAAAGCTGGGGTCCTTAACTTTTCAACCACAAAATAATTCATCTAACTACTTCCTATGCCTAAAAGAGTTTGGTTCTATCACTAGTTTTCACATGCTTGGAGTTTTTGGCCTCTGTCACATATTTAGGTCAACTTTATCAGCATGAAAAGTGAAAAGGAGAGAACCACTCTTGCTAGGGCATACCACTCTCCGCTCAAGGAGTTAAAAAGTGACTCACAAGGCTGTAGTAAGATGCAAAAGATACAAATGTTTTCTAATAAGATGAAGACAGCTATTCATGGTCGTATTTGTTTACATTTTGCTTGTCTAAGACTCTAGACAAGAACGTGGATTGTTTATGAGGAAAGAAAAGTTGGATACCCCAGCTTTAGCTACGTGACAAATGTATAGAAGAACAAAAGTGATATTTACCATCTTGTAGATCTCGGAAACACTGATGTGATCTGGGTCCACCATCTCAAAGTCCTTTCTGGGAACAAGGTCTAAACCGAGGTGTCTGTGTATAGACAAAGCAAATGCAGTTATGTTACCAAATGGAACATATTGTTATAAGTATTTGTTTTAAAGGGACCTATGAAAACTGATGATACTAAGACTGTTTTTCTCAGGATCAATACTTTCTGAAATTAGTTTGGGACATCTGAGCACTGAGATCTATTGATTAAAGGTATTTGATGATATTTTGCCGGAAGTCGCGACCCGTTGAAAAGGAGTTATTTCAAAAGGACCACTCTAGTTCGACTTAGACTGTCTCCACCGTCTAGCGCCTTTCCCGTCTCTCAGGTCTTCTCATTCGCTTCTCTTCTATATTTTCTCAAAAACGTCAAGTGCTAACCAGCTACATAAACAGACTCAGAGATCCACTGAGCATGTGCGGCCGGAGCTGAGTACATTGACTAATAGTGAGATCCATTATTTTTGCGTGATATTTAAAATTTGTACAAACATCTCCATAAACACCTATAATACTAAACATGAGCACTTGTTATAACTAAAATTATTAAGCATTATGCATTATTTTTGGCAGAAAATAAACCAAGAAACATGTTTTTTTTCCCTAATCCGGCCTACAGACAGACATTTACTATACCCCTCCCTTGATGATGGAGTAATACAAACTACATCATTCACATGTCGTTTCTACCATACATTTTATAAACAGAGAAGCATGAAAGCAGCCACCTCTACATCCGAGGCCTTCACACTCCTAAATGTGGCTCCACATTATTATGAGCATGGGCGTCTATAAGGAGAATGTCTGCCTTCATGCTGTTGAATTGACTTTATTGCTCCACAGTTCCTCCTGGGAGCCGTGTTTGAGTCGAGCTGGTTCAGACTCACTCATCTGCTAAATGGCAATAACAGTACATCATAAAGGAAGCCATTACATCCTCTGACTAAGGGTATGACCGATACTTGTGGTCCACACTTCGAGGCCGATGCATTAAGCGTGAGAGCTACTCTAATTTCATACATAGTGCTATACTATTGAGAAAGACATAAAGTTTACTTAATGTGAAAGCAAGAATGTCCATTAAAAATCTACAATGACAACAATAGAGTTGTAAAGTGTGACATTGCTTCTCAATTCAGTGTTGGTTTTTAGCTGTTCTTTGTATATTTTGTCTCAAAGCCGCCAACATTTACCGGTCCAATGGTTACTTTGTTTTTGACACATGCCACAGTTTATGCTTGGTCTTAATTAATCTAAATCAGAATTTGAATCGTTTCTCCATCACGATTATGGACATGGCTGAAAAGGACTTGTTCTTTCTCTCTGTTTTGGAGCTGAGCCAGGGATAGACAGCATGGCTTACATATGCACAATTAATAGTAAATGTTATGGCCCTGTTTCTGTGCCAGTACCTATACAGAATGTTAATAAAAGGAAAAGAAAAAAAGTGTTGAAAATTAAAATAACCCATTTGAAGCCTCATAGAAGTTTTTTAAAATCCAAATATCTAGAGGCTCCCTGTTTATTATATCTTTCTGGTCTACTTTTTTTAGCTAGCACAATGTGTTCAGCTCTTTGTTTTAAACATTTGAAAAACATACTGTAAATATAAATTATAGATCTTATGGTCTTGTTCTTTATCTTTTAACTTGTCTGCCGCCTTTGGACAAACAGTACAGTATGAGGGGAGCAAAGTTATACAATAGACAAACATTATGCTAACAGTTGCTTTGTGTAGCATGGTTAGCTAACTATGCTAACCTTAGTGGTCGGCTACAAATCTTAAAACAAAGGAGAGGACAGAAAATGTATGTATAATTGGTAGTTGGCTCACTCCACACTGAACTGTACAATCTTACTTCAAGCAGCAATAAAATATATGTATGAACCCAAAGTGTTTGTATCTCATCATTCTTTAATACTTTGCAGTTTGTAAAAATATATATAGGATAATTTCAGATGGGCAGCTCACAACCAAGAAAAATGGATGCCTTTCAACAAAATTGTATTGAACTTTGGGGACTCAATTGTTTCATAAAGGTCATGTCATGTTGGAGGCTTTGTGACTGGAAGAATTAACAGGACAGGGAAGACTGTTTAATGGCTAATGGTTGGGGATATAACTATTATCAATCTATAATTATAGATTATACATTATTATTTGCAGACAAACTGGCCTTTGTGGACGTAACACATCGCGTCCACCGGTTGTTACGTCCAAAGCAGCTGGAGCGCGCCCTTCGCTGAACAAACAAGCCAGCAAAAAACAAGAAGTTCCATTCATTCCACAGTAGCTGAGTTTGACACATATGAAACACATTCCAACAGTTTAGTGTAGAGTGAGCCAGTTATAATATAAAAGAGATAAAAAATAAGAAGATAATAAGAAGATTTTGTTTACAATTAGCTTCAGCATGAACCTGGACGTGCAGTGTTTTACCACATTACCAAGCAGTTATATTTGTCACTGCTAAATGCTAACACAACAAAGCAACTCTAAAAATGTAATGTACAGACTAATCGTCAAGTGGTATTGGGTTTGTTGAGTTGGGTTGAGAGCACAGTTGGAACTCACTCGTTGCCCCAGTCCAGGCGCACAGTGATGTGGCGTTTGATCTCTCTGGTCTGGTCCTGAGCGAGGTGGCCCTGGATCAGCTGTCTGCGCAGGTCCATCAGCTCATTCATCACATGACGGAGCTTATGGAACAGGTCCACTTTGTGTTTCTGACAACAGAGCAACAAAAGTATTATTCATAACCTTAAGATTTAGGTGGCAGGTTAAAAGATATGTAGTGTTTTTTGTTTTTTTTTATTAAAAGAGACATAGAATACTTTTAACAACGTTTCAAGATTGCTCCCGAATCTAAAACAAACCTGGTGTCTGCTCAGAGCAGTTTTATGCTTTTTAAAACAAAAGTTTTTCACTATAAATTGGTTTTGGTTCTTTACTATGTTTTCAGTCAGTAATTTACTTCTTCTGGTGGTAGCATAAGGAGTTACAGATGGAAAGTATTTATTTACTCTTCATACCTTTTTCACCACGTATTCTCCAAATCAAGGAATCATAATTCTCATTCTGGTCTGACCAACCATTGGCACACTATATCAAATATTATTTGTGTTTATTTAAATTATATAAATTCATTGTATACATTAATCATTAAATTAATTGTTTTTTATCCAACATGTAAATGCACCAGAGTTAGCCATGTAGACTAACTTGCAAGGACTATATTTAATGACAACCATAGCTCTTTTTTACTCTATAGCAGAAATCTTCCATAATTAAAAGACAGCATTTACTGTATCTCTCCCCCACTCAAACAAACTAAATAAACAGATAAAAAATCAGTATGATTCACACTAACCCAATTTATGTTCATAATCATGAAATTAGATTGTAATAAATAATGTATTGTAAATGTATTCAAGTGGAGGATTAGTGAAATGGATCTGACTTGTCATATTTTGGCAGTTCAAGCTAAATTATGATTCCTGGATATTTTCTGACCCATATTTCACAATTATACAGTATGTAAAGTGAATCATCATCATTAGCATGTTTCACGTTGTGCTAAAAAGTTCTCAAATTAAGTGACCTCTGTGATTAATTGATGTGTAGTTTGTAGTCCATCATGTTTTATGGATGAAGCAACACGGCTGATATCATGGCACAAAAACAACATTTCAGAGCTCTACATTAGCTCCAAAGAAGTTACATCACCAAATCTCTGCCTCCAGCTCCTCGACGATTGGTTATGTAAAAATCTCACTCACACCAACTCAGCGGTGCATAAACCGGACCAAGTAAAAAAACTACTTTTGGATTTTTTTCCTGGCAAAGAACGAGGGTCTAAGGATCCCCACCCATCATGTGACTGATTCTATTCTTCTCTTCAATTCAACTATTTTTTTTAAGGTTATTGTGATTTGGGCAGTCTCCAAACATTCAGCAATCCAAGAGTGTTTCAACATGGTTCAACTTTTAACTGTTGAGATGCATTTAGTATGTTTTTTAACTTGATGAAAATGTAGGTTCATAGAAAGCAGGATATTAGTCGAAGTTAAAAGATAAGAATAACTGGGTTTTAATTCAAGTTTATTCTGCTTCCCTTTAGTGTATATTTATGTTTGAATAGACTGTACTGTACAAATAGTATCACATTGATGTATCTGATGTTTTTTGTTTCATTTTATCCGCAATGGACCTGTTTGTGTGTACAGTAGATGTATTGTGTAGAAGTATTGAGATGGACTTCCGCTATTGACTGGATACTTTTGTTTCCACCAAAATTTCAAACGAATTCTTTAAAATCAGACATTGAGATTTTCTGGATTTTGTCTCTCATAGTTGAGGAATACGAATCATGCAAAATACAAGCATCTCCAGACTTGCACATTTGGTGGCTGACTAAATCCTTATTTGCCCCATTGTATGTGTTCTGTTACCGAAAATGAATAAAGTAGTAAATAAAACATAAATAAAATACTATATGTTTTTGTTTACCTATTATGACAATGTTATTTTAAAAGATGGATACAACAATAACCTTTAATTCTGGGTCATAAGAGAGAGAGAGAAAAGTTGTGTGTTTTTGAGCATTGTAGAGCCACTGAACATATAAAAACTACAGTGCTGCTCGGAGCACTAGTTGTCCTGGCAGCAGCAGAGGGCAGAGGTGGATCTTTGTGGAGGCAGAATCAATCTGGATGAGCTCAAGATAATCAATGCTTTGAATGACACAGCGTGAAATTACATGCGACAGATCAGTAGGACGACTGCCGCAGTTTCAGCTCCTACGTACTTAGATTGTGTTTGTGAATGTAGGCTGACAGTCAGGCTGCAGGCGAAGACTTAAGAGGATGTCATAGCATGTTGAGCTAATATAGGTGCTGATAGATAAAGAGTAAATATGCTATATTGTCTAATCCTGTAAATATTCATATAATGTATTGTCAGAGAGCTTTCATTGTGTAATTAGTAGAAAATGTTCTTCACTTCTCCAAATGTGAGATTATATGTTATTGGTTGCAGCGTCTTATCATAAGGGTACAAACCAAGGTTACTCAAAGACATTCATTCTGTTTGGTGATGTGGCCTCTTTTGGCTGTTTCTTACGTAAAAGTGGAAAAAGAAGCCATCGAAATGAGAACAGCAACCAGATTTAGGGGCTGTAAAACCCATTTTGAAATTCGAATATCTTTGAACTACTGTTATCAGTTAAAAAAGTATTGGAAAAGAACATTGTTTATTAATGCCTTTTGACAGATTAGATTTATGATGACATGACGTGAAAATCTTACATATTGCTACTTTAATTGTTTTTAAATCTGAAAGAGGTTTGTGATTACTTTCACTGCACACTTGCTCACTGTGATGCCCTCTACAAGTGTGCAAGGGGCACCATGACATATTTTTGCTGGCCCTGCCTACTAACACAACAACACAATAAGTAGCACATGCAATCCTGAATGGGGCTGTGTGAATTGGTTGGTAGCTCTGATTGCCCCCAACTCAGAACTGGATTAAGGGAATGAACATGGAGCTTCATCGCCTCATATCACAAGGAAGCTTCATTCATGCCGCAAACCTTCTCCTCCCCATCTTCTCCTGGTCCCAGACCAGCTCTTTCACACTTGTCCAAGCTCCCACCACCAGGGTCTAGGCCCCGGGGATTTCATGTTGTTAGTACAGACAGAAATAATCTTGGGGTATAGGTGCTTAATAAATGAGTGCTTAACAAATACAAAAAAAACAAAAGAGCCAATTACCATAATGTATCCACTTAATTGTTTATAATTCAATACATTTTAAGTAAAATGAAGAACAAAATTAACTTCTATATGGCTCCCAAGTGTCTATTAGTTACACACTACGATTACGTACTTCGACAGCAGTAGCTCAGTTGGTAGTGCATTGGCCTTTGAGCCTGAAGGTCAAGCAAGAACTGTTTTATCGGTCACTGCTCGGCCAGAGTGCTGCTGGAACCCATGGATTACTACAAAACTTCCACGTTCATGTATACTTGTTTGTTGGAAGATTTTAACATCGAGTAGAGTAGGGACAAGTAGTAGAAAAGGGGCTTAAGTGTGTCGCAGTGGGACAAGTATTACAATTCCTCCTTAGTTATACGGCTAATGAGATAATGATTCAAGTTTGTGATATGCAGCTTATCCCCTTGAAAGCGGTGTAAGCGGAGGTGAAGCAGAGACACTCACCACATAGAGCTGTTTCCAGAGCACTCCCCACTCCTGCAGTGTGGAGGTGGTCTCTGTGATGATGGGGTCCTCCAGGGGCACCACAGTCTCACACAGCCTGCGGAATATTCAGATGTACACAACATTTATTCACAGCGCCGCATGGGCAGGACTCAGAAATTTCATGTTTTAAGAAGCAGACATAAACATGCAGTGATGTACATATAGAGTGGTTAGAGGAGATGGTGGTTTGAATGTAGATTTAAGACATTTTTGTTGTGACTATGCAGTGTTGAGGAGAAAGGCCTGCATCAAAGCCCCAGAATACGTAACCTTTTAGTCCTAAAATAGGGTTACGTATAATAATTTTTTTTTTCCGAAACTACAAAACAACTATTAGGGCGACAAAAACTAAATGATGGTTAAAACAGTTGAGAGAGCCAGTTACATGTGAAAGAGCTGGAGATAGTGGAGGACTTCTTTTCTACAGCCTTGTATTTTAGTGGCCTAAGAAAATCAGTAACCAAGAACTGGGAACAAGAACAGGTCAGAAGCTAGGAGTTACAATCAGAAGAGGGAAGTGGAGATGGATCAGCCACACTCCCTCAAACTTCCCTCAAAAATCCAACACCAGAGCTTGACTGGAGTGGAATTCTCAACGGAGGAGAAGGAGGGGGTCAACACCTCGTAGCAAAAACAAAATTGGAGGTGGAGAAAACTCACTGAGACTCTGTGCTCTCGAAGCGGTGAGGAGGATTAAGTACAAGCACGTTTTTTACTTTGATTGTTTCTAACTCATACTTTTGCTGAAAAGGGCTTCCATTTGTTTATTTACAGTTTTGCGTGAAAGTTTACACACTTACATTTAATTTGTGGGAATTATGAATGATAACACATACACTTTTTTCCTCCACTCATTGTTAGGGATTGTGTGAAGTTTTTTGAGTGAGTCTCTCTGTGGAGTTCATGCAAGGCAGCCTAGGAATGTACAGGCTTTTTGTCTAGGAGTAGAATGGGCAGCGTTACCATCAGAGGACAAAGAAGCTCATCCACATAAATCGTAGGCCTGTTGAATAAGTGAGTCTGACTATAAGACACCAGAACATTACACTTTGAGTCCACACACAGCCACAGGTCCCTGGGCACAGATTTACCATCCATGAATTTGAGCTGATAATACAGCCATTGTCTCTGCCTCAACAACAATAAGGGAACTCTGGGTGACCGCACATTTGTGGATTTGTCTGTTTGAGGGATTATGTCAGCAATCGCTCTCGGTGCAAAGGACGGGGTGAAAAGAAGGTGTTGCGATGTGATGTCTAAAGCTGCGGTACCTGCTTTTCAAACTGAAAGTAGAAAGTTTATATATTTGTCTCATACCTTATGGTAGGGTATTGTATACTCCTGTAAGTGCAGCACAGTATCATATTTGTTTGGGTTGTTGTTTAGTTGCATTGTAATCTGTGTTTTATTGTGTTAAATGGTGAAAGGGGATTGGGAAGAAATAAGCATCTGTTTTATCCAACATTTTATCTTTTGAATGGGCTGGAAACAGCAGCAAGTCCTAAGTAGCTCTGAAAGAGCTGTTGTTTTGTGCTTTACCATTTTTCTTCTTACTGCTTTTTTCTACGTGAGATGTTGTTGCAGTACAATGTTCATGATTTTACACTGGTCCAAACCGGAGCAGAGAAGATTCCGAACGGAGTGGATCAGGTAAAAATCCACTGGAGATATGCTAACTTTTTGAAAACTGCTAATGAAGCATTCAGCATTTTACTTTGGACTAGAGCAGTGAAAATGCTCCAAACCAAGCGGCTACTCCACCTTGTGACCAGTCCTGCTCCACCCAGAGACTACTCCACCTTGTGACCAGTCCTGCTCCACCCAGAGACTACTCCACCAAATTGTGTTCTGCAGGTTTGAAACAAATCAAACAAACTAAAAACTGGGTCAGGTCTGTCAAACTGGTTCCAATCTATTTCAATCACTCAGCGTCTATGAACTGCTTACATTGTACAGTTATGAGAACTTTTGAACCCACAACAAATGAAATAAACTCCAGCTAAGCAAAAACTTATCCCACTAGAAGAACAATCAACAACTTAAGTTTTTGTACTCCAAACCAATAATAAATGTTTGTACCTCATCTACACGGCTCAACTATTGTCAAACAATAGTTTTAAAAGCTACTACTCTGTAAGCATGTTATTACCACTAGCACAGTTTTAGAAGTGATTTTTCAGACAGACAACAGGATTAGAGAGATCCGCCCTTACTCTGCTCAAAGCATCAAATTATTATCCGAATTCAGCAAAATTCTTTTTTTCCTTGCCTTTCCTTTTCATTTTTGTTGAACGTTGTGGCAAACATTTTGACCTAAGTACCATTAAAACCTCTTGAAAAGGTGTTGATTTAACTTGACTGAAAGTTGACCTACCCTGTCTTATATGATGTACATTTTAAAGCACAAGAAAGGACATGGAAGAGGTATGTTGCAGCTAATTTTTTGTACTAATAGTTCAAATGTTTTCTACAGTAATTTTTCCAATACAATTCAATATTCAAGAATTTATTTGCCATTTGCAGTAAAACCACATTGGAAAAACTGTGGAAGACTAACCCAGTGTGCACCAGACAGCACATGCTATGGCGCCATTTTGTCAGCACCATGCGACAACTTTTAATTTTGGTTTTTACACTACTCTTGCTGTGGGGTGAAAAAGAAGAACTTAAATTGTATTTCATTTCTAAAAGAATGTGTATTTCTGCCTGTGGGACACTGCTATTGTGTGCACTAAGTATTTTTCAACTATAATATTAAAACAGCCCCTCCCCTCAGCACCACAATGACCAGTAAAAATGTCTGGAGGAGAACAGTTAAAGCAATAACAGAAGGGCTAAAGGATTTGATTTCATTTCCACCAATCAGGAAGCTGCAGGAGTGAACGTGCAGCTGATCTAACCAATGCTTGTCTTCAAAGTGTCACTCTCTCGTCTATATTTCAAAAGCAAATGTCATTCACTTTAAGGTAAAAAAAAGTTAGGCACCCCAGCTTTAAACTGTACAACTTTGAAGCACAAAGCTTGGGGAAGCAATTTTTTTTTTCTTCATCAGCGAGGGTGGGGAGTGAGACGATATATGATGATGGAAATGATTTGATACGGTTACAATGATTGAGCTGGTTTGGACAGAGCCTGAAGAGGAAATGGGTTGAAGGATGCTGTGGTCAGAACTGCCAGTCAAGAGGCCAAGCTGGACACACAAGTGGAAAACTGATGGATGTGGTGGGAAAGAGTTTGAAGTCTGATTGTGTTAGGGAAGAATATGCACTCTATAGATATTGCTGCTTGTCTTCGTCGGTCAAAATGTGGCTTTAAGAACTTCTCGCTGAACCCACATGAAATACTTAGTTGTGTTTGTGTTACCACTCTCGCATAGGAATCCATGAAATCATAATGCTATGTTTGTCTATATTTTATGATAAACGACGCATGCATATAAATAGTGATGAAGGCAGGCGGTTGCGAGGGTGTAATGGCAGCCAAGTCCGAAAGTGCTCCAGAACCATCTGTGATACAGTTCGGAATCTGTTCAAACAAGTATTGGCCGGAGTAAGAAAAGCATTAGTACGACGAGACTCACCCTCTGTTGATCACGGTGGATTTCTTAAGGTGGACGTAGCTCACTGGGAAGATGCCCTGAGAAAGACAAGGTTATGGGTCAAAATCTGTATCTCTATGTGCTGTGACTTCAAAGTACTGCCACCATTTACTACACACATGAGTCAAGAGTATACGGATGCTTGAAATTCTTAGACATAAATATCAAGGACTGTCATGGTGTGGATTTTATTTTGGACTTTAGCTTTATTTTGATATCTGTTCTCTGTGCTTTGGTTTTAGTTTGATTTTGACGTCCTGTTTCCCTGTCTTGATTGTCTACCCCGCCCTAATGTGTTTCACCTCTGTCTCTGTCTATTACCCTGTGCTCCTCTCCTCTTGTTGCTGGTCCATTGTATTGTCTACTTCTATTCCGTCCTGTTCCTGATTTTGTGCTCCTGGTTCCGTATTTTGGATTTTGAGTTTTGATTTTACCTTGGACTTTATTTTATTAAATCTTTATTTTGGCATTCTCGCATTTTGAGTCCTCCTCCTTCCCACCTCAAGACAAAGGACATCTTGTACATTGTATTTTTTTTTTTTTTACCAAGAATGAATCCACTTGATGTTCTCAAAAGGTCAATTGTTTACCCATTAATTATATATTGTTCGATTTTATTTTTATGGATGTGCTGCTGTCTAGATATGTATGTATGTTTATGTGTAGGTGTGTGTATGCAAATATGTACATATCTTATTATACTGTATACTATACAAGGTTTTGGAAAAAAAAAAAGAGAAAATACACAATCTGTAAATGTGTATGTGAAAAATGTGACATTTCAATAAACAAATAAAAAAAAGGTAAATTGTGATTTATAAATGTGACCTATTGTCCGAGGACGAATCAGAATCAGAAATATTTGTACTGCCACTGTAAGAAACAATGAATTTGCTTTATTATTTGGTGTGAAAAAGTTATTAAAAAATGTAAAAAAGATTAAAAGGGATGCATATAATGTCTTCATTAGATTCTAAAATACAAAAAAACACAATAGACATTAAAGAGTGTATATTATAAAAGTGTTAACATGTTTGATGTAGGTGTAACTCCAAATGAATTACATAGTGTCCCTGTAAGTCACTTTTTTAAGTCAAACCACAAACACAATCTTTCTACTTATATACTATACTATATGTACTATATATATATATACTTTTTTTTTTTCACACTGCCCTGAAGAAGGCCCTGCGTGGCCAAAACGCGTTGGTCCCTTTCCCTCATTAAAGGACTTTTTATCAGAGTGCCTCGGATTTTGCCCTGTTGTTACTTTTCCACAGAAAAGGGCATCTTTGTTTGATCTATGCTATTTCTTATCCTGAAGAGCACCTGATTTTACGTACGTCTTTGACATTTGGACCCTGTAGCACTCACTTAGAGAAGTTAAGCGTCTTTCTATTTATATCTCATAATGTTTTATTATTTACATACTGAAAGCTGCGTGAGGGCTTGTACATTCGGTATAGTCTGCATGTACTCAGATATGTGTATGCAACAACTAGTGATGGGACCAAACATTTCTGTGATAGAAGCTAATTTTTTGTGGTTTCGAAGTTAGGTACAGCAGCTTTACTGTAACGAGGGATAAAACACTGAACCAGACTCCTATGGCTTCTTGTCCTTTGAAGGTCACAGCACATGGACTAGTGCCTGCGGCTAAAGACCCTAATTCATTGTAATAATTGTATTCTCCCAGATGTGACTGTAGTGAAGTGGGCTGCTTCTATGCGCTCACACATTTTACTATGGGGGCGACCAGTGTGGGCAGCAGTACATAACAAAAAGTGTGAAAAAACTGTAAATAGCTGATGAAGTGTAGAAGAGTGTTGTAACCACTAACACTGACAAGGAATCATGAGGAAACTGTTGTCGATTGATAATCAACCTTCATGCATTTATGTAACAAATGCTTTATATGAAATAACAGCCCCGGCCCTTGGGATTTTAGGTTTTAACGAAAGGCCTCATCTGGAAATAGAGGTCAGGTTATTTGAGGTGGTTTAATGCTAAAACCTGACAGCTGTTGTTTAAACAAACTAATTGCAGCAAATTACAACAAAAAAACATAACAAATAACGTTGAGCCATTTGCAATATTTCGGTAATTGATGTCAACCCACAGAACTCATACTGGGACGACACAACCTTTTTCGAGATTTACCTGAATTACAACATCACAAATAGACCTGGAGTCGGTTTTAGATTCATCCAGGCTAATATCAAGAACTAAGAGCCTCAAATATGTCGCCCCACCTCTTCTGTTCAAAAGCTCTTTCTTCAAACTTGACACACCACGACATTTCCCTACAGGGCGTCATGAATACAGCTGTTTTAAACCTCCCTCCCATTAGCTTCAAAATAATCAAATAATGTTCTGTACAACTGTAACATAAAAAAGAGTAAAGGTATCACACACCAAAATGCTCTGAAGGAGGAACAAAAGTAAAAAGGAAATTATTCAAAAAGATGAAATATTGCACACTCAAAATCTGATTCACTTCATAATATTTCAGCAATTATAGCCTTAATCACATCTTGTTTTCTCTATTTCTTTTGGAGCACAGTATAGTCATTATATGTGGTTAAATATTGTGAGAAAGATGCTATAATTGCAGAAATATCATGAAACAAATCACATTTTGGAGATTGGACTACAATTAGACCGCACCATGTTAGATTAAGATCCAGCCGACTGTAATCCCTACTTTTATCATTTGGATGCCATCTCTTACTCCATGTGCATCCATTTTCTATCCAAGAAAGGATTCCCCATTCTAAAACATGACTGTAGTGAGGTAAATATTCTCAGTCTCACGTATAAGTGCTTTTAAAAGGGTTCATAACATTATATATTCCTAATGTGGTAGTTTTTGTGGGCGGCATAATTACCTTGATAGATGGCTTCTTGGTCGAAAAGCCTCTGTACCATCCTGCGGAAAGAAGAACATTTATTTCCTTACAATTACATTTTGAGGAAAATCACAACTTTGCTCATGTCCTGGTCTGCTCCTACAAAGTAATGGAAGCGATAAACGAAGAAATTAACGTCAAATTTGTGAATGAAAAAGTATGTGGAAAGAAAATTACCTTCGCTTTTCTCCAGGATCTGTACAGTCTCCCCAATCTCCAGCACCAAGGCCTGACATATTGGGGACCGGAAGTTGCAGATAACTATAAAAGCACAAGAGAAAAAAATATTAGATTTGCTTTCAGGTGTGTGTTATTTCAGAGTAGAGCCGTTTAAATAATCGATAGTGTGCCGGTCCTTCTTTTGATTACTACTTTCTATTTATGCTACATCTGTTGTCTGCTGTTGTTGTGTCCTTGGGTGAGACACTTAACCCCACTTTTTGACGGAGCTGCCATCTTCCCGTGGAATGAATGAATGAATACTATCTATTTCAATATTCAATGAGAAAAGCACTGTTGATATTGCACTGTTTGACAATTCTTTCTTGTACATTATAGCTTGTTTATTTTACTTATGTCTGGTGTACACTCGGGTACTTATTTTGCTCATGTTTTGCAAAGTGGTTTTAGATACATGGATAGATAGATAGATAGATAGATAGATAGATAGATAGATAGACAGATAGATAGACAGATACTGTAGACAGACAGACAGACAGACAGACAATTTATTGATCCAAAAAAGAAACTGTGCATCGGTCCCTTGCTCGCAATCATACAAACACAGAATATAATTGAAATATATAAAGATATATATAAATGACATTAAAATTCATATAAAAAATAAAAAAAGAGGGAAGTTAACTACAAATGGCAAATCAAACCAATCTGAATCTGAAGTTGCGATTATTTCATTAACTGTTAGCGCCCTATAGCAGAGTTTTTGTGACTTAGGACAACTCTATTGTTTGGAAACGCCTCCGTAAATGCGGCTTTTGCGTCCTCTTAACAAGCTTTTTAAGTTCAAACTGGGAGTCACACAGGAAGATCCCTGCCAAGCCATGTGTACACAAGCACCCGCCCTGCAGTGGGGAGTTGTTTTAATAAGCAATTAATTTTTAAGCACTCTGATTTGGGTGCACTGTTAAGTTAATTGAACTGTCTCCCAAAATAAAACCACGCAGCACCGCTAAGTCGAATGGCTCCATGCCGCTTTAGAATAAGAGCGCATTTGCATAAATCCTGCAGCAGCATCCAGCCAAAGTCTTTGACCGTATATACTGACTTCCTTAAACCCCGATTAGCAACTTGATTATTCTGAGTGGGAATACACATGAGAAGGCTACAGCGGCACCAGGAATGATGCCTGATTTAAATAGTTTCTTTCTGTTATGGATAGTTTTGTGGACATTAGCTTTGTTTGTTCTATGTCAACGTTGCAAGGAAAATCAGAGCTGTCAATATTTAGTTGTTTTGTTGGTTAATTGGTCGATGGCGTCTTGGTCAACCAAATGTTGCATGAATAAACTGATCACTTTCATTTCAATTACAAGAATTTCTATGTGAGTGCTAAAATGAGGCGATATGGAGCAAAACAGCTTACAATGTTGGTATTAACTTTGATAAATACCAACTTTCAAACGCTCCATTCATTTATTTATTATTAAGATTAAGATTGAGAGATCCTTTATTCGTTGCACATTGGAGAAATGTCACTTATTACCGCTAAGATTTGTGTTTCTAAATATTTGCTTTTTCATTAATTCTTTGTTTTGTGATTCCAGTTTGGGTCAATAATATTTAGAGCATTTGCCACGCCCCGTTTTAGATTAAGAAGTGTGTTGGTTGTTGACAACTCTACAAGGAATATGTATCAGGACTAATTCTAATCTATAAATCTGGTGCATGCGTGAATGATTGGTGGTCAGGTGGGACATGGCACAGTTTGGCAACCATAATCCTGTCATTGTCAGGGCAGCTGTGGCTACATGAGCAGCTTACCAATGTGGAGTGAATACACAGTTATATACTCTGGGTGTCATGAAAGAAATTGAGTGACTTACTTAAAACGGGTAAAGTAAACCAGGGCCTAACCAACTAAAGCTGGGGGACCTAAACTTCAAACCCCCCCAAAAATGTTTGGATTTGTTCACAGACTTACAATTCTACAATACTAAATCAGTTGGGACAAACAAAATGTGTAATTTATGAACAAACTTGGGTACCCCAGTTTTAGTTCAACCCCTTTTTGAAATACGTTATATATATATATATATATACATAATGTGTAAAACCCCTTGTCATTGCGCATATTGCTGCAGTTTAGTCATCGGTGCAGTAGAAATCACACACTTCCCCTCTGGTATTTACTGAACAAATGTGTGTAATATCACCAGATCCACTGACGATTTAAAACTTACAAATGGTGATGGCCCTTAGAGGACAATTTAGCGTGAATCACTGAACTAATGAAGCAGCCAGGAGACCTAGTGAGTGGGCGGGGCATGGAGCTGATTCACTTCCTGTTCTGGAGTAACTACGGCAACGGCTCATCGTCACACTGGAGGATTTCTTCTTCACCGCAGCAGGAAGGATTCAAGCCGGACTGAGGATTGGGCTCAATCAGCTGATCTCTGCTTGAAATGTGGAGGACATCTACATAGAGCAGTATTCGACCAAAGAAAGTTAACGAAATTGATTATTCCACTAAAACTAAAAAAAATTATCATTATTATGATCAGACAAGACTTTAGACACACAATCACAACAACAACAAATCACTAATGAAATATTCTGCTATTCTTGTGCAACAAGAGTTTATTCCGACTTAAAAATCTAAGTACATACAAGGTTACAATGGGAAAGAGTCCATTTCTGAGCAATCCTCTCTTTCAAAAATTAAATTAAATATTTTTTTTGTATCCCCCTAAATCCCAGCAGCAGCCGTCTCAGAGGACTTTACAATGTTGTCAATTCCTCAACTACAGACCAGAGAATCAAACAGTTAGAACACAGGAAATGCAATAATAAAATCGGTCCATAGGCTACAGATTCAGAACGTATAAATAGATCTATAAATCTTAGTAAATGCGATAAATGTCCGGTATCATCACTGTCCTTAGACCTTCCTACATCAGTAAAGAACGAGTCAAGAACCGAGTGAGAAAAAGGGAGAAACCTCCAGGTGTTGGGGGGGGAGCTCACGGACGGACAGGCTGTGGATGCGGGACTCAGACTGGACGACGGGGACTGAGGCTGTGAGGTGACTTAGAGCTGTATTGCCATCTACCCTCCAACTGAAATAGAATTCTGTAGAACATGGACGCAACCTATGATCCGTCTCCACGGGGAGGAGTTTCTTCCCACGTGCAGCTGATCTCTGCTTCAGATGTTCACGATGGTTATGTGATAGGGCTGCATTCGACCAAAGACATTCTTGATAAAATACAAGCCATCTTCTGTCTGCTGTTTCACACATGTCTCAAAAAACGCACTGGACTTTAGGGACATCACAACAACAAAGAATCACAGTTAATAAAGAACTGGTAAGCTTGTGTCATGAGAGTTTGACTTGAATATAAAAATAAACACAAGAATCTCCTGCTTACAAACAAGACAGTTTATAGAAGTCTTGTTACCCATGACTTCTATAAACTGGGTAACAAGACTGGATAATCCGAGAGCTGATGTTCCCCATAGTGTTTGTCCAATGAGGAAGAAGCTGTTTTGGACATTAGAGCTTTTGTAGGGGTCGGGGGCAGATGTGTGGCTAACATGGTTGCTATGTTGCTAAGTTGTGAGTTTCCCCCGTGAATGAAGGCCTTTGATTGCTCGATTCTTTTATGGATGATATCTGGATTTACAAAATTTTTAAGCAAAAGGAATTTACTTTTCATTTTAAGTCACTAGGAGCCAGAGCAAGATGGAGCAAAACTTTGTCCATGAGCACTTCCCAATTGTGCTCCATTGAGCTAGAGGTTTAGCATTGTCCATTGATATACAGTCTATGGTTCACACAGAAATATGGCTTCAAGAATCATTTTCATATGTGAGATCAGAAATATTTCAAGTTGTCTGCAATACACCATACATAAATAAGAAATCAGACATGTCCAAACAGAGGCGACAGTGGCTCAGTTGGATGGATGGACATGTCCAAACGAGGCCTATTGAATATTTATGTAAATTGTTGTAAAGATCAGGGGCCGTATTCCTAAAGATTCTGAGAGTGCTCTCAGAGAGCTCTTATCTTAACCTAAAAACTCCTAGCTAGGAGTCTTAGCTTAAAAGTTATTCCAGAACACTCTTAGAGAACTCTGAGCAAGGAATTGACAACAACTTTTATCTTAGTGAGGAGGCGTGGCCGACCCCGTTGCTAGGTATGAGTCATCATTTCAGACGCTGTGATTGGTTGATCCTAAAAGTTAGAACAAACATATTTTTGATGATAATAGGCAAAATAAGGGCCCTAAAATGGACAAACTCAATCATGGAATCTAATCTTAGGAACACTGTGTTATTGTAAATAATAACCAAAAGCTATAAAGTCAGATATATCAATGGTACATAAATACTGTGAATAGTAAAGTTAGACTTATACACCATCATCAGAGCTTGCTCAGCACCAATTTATCACACATAATACGTATATATCATGAGCACTTATAATTTTATATATATATATATATATATATATATATATCAATCAATCAATCAATCTTTATTTATAGGGCGCTTTTCCTGCACAGGGCAACACAAAGCGCCTCACAGTCCACACCACACAATGCACAAATCATCACCATTAAAATACAATTAAAAACACATATGTAATTAAAAAGCATTAAAATCACATAAGTAATTTAAAAACATAAGAATCACACAAGTAATTAAAAACAATAAAATAGTTAAAAACACAAAAAGTTACAACAATAAATAACAAGGTGTGTTAAAAAGATAAAATTCTCTAGTTGTATGCACAGGAAAAAAGAAAAGTCTTTAACATGGATTTGAACATTGACAGAGAGGCAGCCAGTCTCACATCCTCAGGAAGACTGTTCCAGACTTTAGCTGCATAAATCTGAAAAGCAGCCTCCCCCTGTCTAGTCCTGACTCTGGGCACTAACAGGAGTCCCGTCCCTGCGCTCCTCAGAGTCCGGGCTGGTTCATATGGGACTAGCATATCATGGATGTACTTTGGTGCAAGGCCATGGAGAGACTTGTACACCAGGAGAGCTGCTTTAAAGTCTATCCTCTGGGCCACG